CCTCCTTTCCTGCTCTCTAGCAATGTTCTGTCGTCTGCTTTCACCTCCTTTCCTGCTCTCTAGCAATGTTCTGTCGTCTGCTTTCGCCTCCACTTTCTGCCCCCTCCCTCTCACCTCCTTTGCCCCCTCCTCTGGGCTCTTGACTCTTTCTGCGGCCTTTCTACTGCTACTCCTTGGCTCCTTCTTACTGCTGTCTTTAAGCCACACCTCAGATCTTCTGGTAGGAAAGATCTACACCTAGCCTTCTCGGATAAGGGTGAAAAATCTCGGAGGGCCCATGTGCAAGTTTCGCTCGTTAAAGATTCCTTGGTGGTCTAAAATCAATAAGAGTAGGCTTCGGCCGCCACCCAGGCAAAATTCAAAATTTCCTACCAACTGAAAATGTTTAATGTGTCCCGCGCGCTCATATGACCTATTGCGGTCTTGCTCAAAGAAAAAAAAGATTACTTCTTTAGAAGAAACGAGGTTATTTTTTAACCAGACAGTGCCTTTGGTCATACCTCCATATGCTGAAAAATTTGCTGCAGGGAGACGACAAACGATTTTGTATGGGATGCGATACTGAGTCCACGATCAGACACATTATTAATCAAAGGTCCAGACTTTGGAAAGACTCCAAGGAAATATTTTAGTGTACAAATAAAAAAAAAAATTTTGTTCTCCATCGTTGGTCCCAACAGGGTTATCAATTTTATACGCACCATTGGTTTTTACCGGAAACTAAATATTCGTTACTTTTTAAAATGCAAAGTTGCTTCTTCTTTCCTATCAAACATCTATCGTCCTCATCTCCCTTTCTTCTTATTTATGTTTGTTACTCTCTTGTAACACCTCTAATCTTCTGGCGCTCATATGACCTTATGCAGTTGCGAGCGCCGTAAAACCCTCTACTAAAACTAAACTAAAAATGCAAATGACTATTTTTACTATTACATTTTTACCATGGCAATTTTCACTTCAACCATGAAAAATAGCCAAGCTGTGCTTTGAACTAATGTGAAAACGGGACAACTTGTGTGTGGGTGATTGGCGGGTGCTTCTTTCCTATCAAACCTCTATCGTCCTGATCTCTCCTCCTTTTTTATATTTGTCACTCTCTTGTAACACCTCTGATCTTCTGCACATATATATGACCTTATTGTGTTGCAAGTGCCGTAAAACCTCCTCCTTTTTTTTTGTCTATGCTACTGTCTAATAACACCTCTAATCTTCTGCACGTATATGACCTATTTGTGTTGCAAGTGCCTTAAGAGGTATCGCGGGGTTGAAAACAGTCGATTATGGACCAAATTATCAATTTTGAGATTTTGGTCTCATATATGAAAGTTCATTCTTTTTTTTCGATCCAACATGTATGACAGAATGCTGAAATCGTCTTAGAAATACCTAAAAAAATACATTTGTAAGCACCTACCCCTCCCCCCTGTAAAAGTAAAGTTGTCGTAGCATCCGATCTGGACATTGGGGATTGCCTTGTTAGTGAGACAACTTCCCAGGCCTTCAGCATATTGTGGTAGGGTGGCCAGTTCCTTTCCTCCACGCCGCCTTTACTTCCCCAACTCTAAGTCAGGTACCCATTACTGCTGGGTGGGCAGGAGGGGGCGAAAAAAATCCGTGTCCGAACTGAGGC